TCATCGTAGGAGCGTTTTCCGCGAATCGAGCACCAGGTGAGAGGCCCATTCATTCCGCAATCGAAGTCACGCCCTTGATAACGATATCGGCGGCGCGGAGCAACTTCTTGCTTATCGTGTTCGGCAAATATTCGCTGGATTTACTGCGTCGTTAGAGTCCGAGGCCCGACGTCCGCGATACCCGACGCCGTTTAGATTCTCTCTTCATCGAAAAGAGGCTGTAGAACCACGGCAATAATCTGGCGATCTCGATCGAACCGGCCACAACAGACTCGCCGGTGTTTCAGTGTGTTTGCACGGCGCGCGGGTGTTAAATGCGTTCCATCTGCCGGCGAGATTAGCCGTCATTGATGGCCAGAGAAAGAGACAGAGAGAAAGAGAGAGAGAGAGAGACAGGGAGAGATGCTGCTGCCTCTGGGGCGCGAGTATAATCGAGAAACGCTTGAATAAAAATGATTTATACCTGCCGCGATGCGCCGCGCAGATAGCGGATTCAATCCAGCCGCGACGATGCCACGCCGAGTCTACACGGTGTCCGTGAAGTTTCTTTTCACTGACGAATGCTCCACTTTCTCGCAATTGAATCCAATAGACGACGGTTAGGGTTCTTGAAAGATGTGGGAATGCTTAGGTCCTGTTCCAGCTTCGGGGCTAAGATGATTTATCAAGCTGCGAAATGCGCTGGGAAATTATTTCCTTTTTTTCGTGGATCGACGAGATACTGCTGTATCTCAGATTGATGTACAGCTCGAAAGGTGTTGCTTTGAGAGTCTTTCTCGTGTGGTTATTTTTGGTAATTCACGATAGGAGTCCTGCAGACGTCTCTGGCTTCCAGTCTCAAGTGGAAAATGACATCCTTCGATAAGATACTCGGAATTACCTCTCAAGATTATTACCAGAGAAATTTCCTGAGAACTGGAAGCTGGTGCACGTGCAATTTAACGCAGATACGGAGTACTGACAGAGAAATATTTAAATTAACTCATATAGCGATAACTATATACATAATTAACTCGATTAGTTTTAGGTAGTTTAACTTTCTAAGGTAGGATAGAAAAATTCAAGTGTACCTTCAACTCAATAAATTGATTGAAAAATGAAGGTTCCGTACTCATTTTCAACTAATTATTTCTGAAAGTGCATTTTATGAATCCTACAGAAAAGTAGAAAATGACATTCTTTGACCAGACAGCTGGAAATACCTTCGAGAATATTATAGAAGAAATTTGAGACCTAAAATGTAACGTCTTCATCTGCTGATTTATGTAATTAAAGCTAGGTGCTTATAAGTGTCTGATATATGATATATAGTAAAAAATGACATCCTTTGATCAGACATATTGACCTGCCATCAGAACATTATAGAACAAATTTATTGAAATTTGTGCAATTAAATCCAGAGTCCTGCAAACGTTTAACATTTAGTTTCAAGTAGAAACCGATATCCTTTAATCAGACATATGGAACCACAATATCATGTGAGAAATTTTATATCTTTAAATCACATAATTGACATGATTCGCGTCTACTCGTTTTCGAAATTAAGGCCGCACTTCCATGAATATACACCACTTAATCCGAAGTAGAAAACGACACCCTTTGATCAGACAGCCCCAAAAACCGGGCCACAGAAAAGTCAGCCAGCAATTTCCCGTGCCCGAAGGCGGTCGCACCCCGAAACCAGCGAATCAACAAAGTTCTCGAGAAGTGGCCTCGATAATTAACTTATAATTTCTATCGTTGAAAGTGTGGCAACAGCTCCGTCAATTCCGAGCGAGCCTCGCCTAATGGAAGCAAACAGCCGGCCTGAATAATCCGACCAAGGCGAAGCGACCATCGCCTTGGAATCTTGAAGCGGCGGGTAATTTGAATTCTTAATCGCGATCCTCGTAGCCCACGCGGCGTCTTCGCTACCAAAAAAAGCCACGGAGCACGGCTCGGTTGCCGATAAAAGAAACCACCTTTGCAGCTCTCGTTTTATCCAGCTGCCGGGTACCCCAGGTTCCTCGAAAAGAGAATTCCGCCCCCGTCTCGTCGCGACGGGGGCAAATTTTGCAACAAAAACTGGCGCAGCTCGCGCGAACATCCGCGAGATACGGTTTCGCATAAAGGAGGTTCTCATAGAGCGTGGAAAGCATCGGCGGGACCGTCTACTTGATGCTAATGGCGTGTCCACGAGTGCCGGCGAGCTTTAAAGTGCTCCTCGCCGTTGCACTTTCCTCGCCAGCCTGTTTTGCCTCTTTTCTGCTACGGATATACTGTTTTTTTATACGCCCAGAGCCGCGTGGAAACTCTATTAAATCCTCCGCGACGGGCTGCTGCGAATTTTAATGGCGGAACGGAGCCGGGAAATTCGGATCTTCGAGTTCATTGGCCTGGTCTTCCAGCGAATAAATTGTTTAGGATGCAAAAGAGCTAAAGCGCCGGCGCATTTAACATGCTAGCTTGAGTTTTGTGCGATTTTAGAATATGCTTCTTTGCGATCAACGTTAATGCTTTCATTCGATCTGATATTGGGTGATCTGACCAATAAACGAGCACCCCCAGTGAATAAAAATTCCTGCGGTATGTTGAAAAGTAACGCTCATCATACCGTTTTTAAATTAAAATTTATGCAGTAATTAATTAATTAATTATCATTTCGTAAAAATGTATTGATTTTATTAAATGTTCATTCATTGGTCTGGTGGTAGACTTGTTTTGCATAATAGAAGTCACTTTCATTTAGCATTATAAATTTGCTGTTCATTTATATCCAGGGAATGAATTTGAGTTGCAGAAATGATTTAGAACCCAAACTTTATAAAAAACGAGAATAATTTTCTGTGTTTGGAAAGATAAATATATATGAAAGAAAAAATAAAGAGCATTACTGTACCATGATGCGAAAAAAATCGACAAAAGGCTTAATTTTTGGGATTTAAACAGTTTTACGAATTGATATGGAACTAGTGTTGAGAAGTTGTAGCTATAGCTGTCAGAACAATTTTCTTCGAGCGACAGCGGCACAGTCTCTAGCAATAAGCCTCACGTGCTCGCCTTCATTTTCAATTCATTGGAGCTCGTAAAAGCGGCATCGGCTCTAATCGATTATTCCGCGGGCTAGCTGGAGATAAGTCGCCAGCAGGATGACAGTCCTGAGACATTTTTACCCTGTCCGCCTCTGCTGCATGTTAGCAATCCCATCACGAACTCCTGGAAGACATATTTTAGCGGTCGCACGAGGAACGTTCCCCGAATCGCGTTCCTTAAAGGGATTGTCACCGGAAACTTTGGTATGCAAAATTTATCAGATTGATGCCGACCAAGCGGTCTAATCAAAATTACAACTTGCAAATATTTATACAATTCTAGCAGGTATCTTTTGGATAAACACAAAATTTAAGAGGGATTAGTTAAGTACTGAAAAATTGAAAGCAGCTTGCGGATCTTTGTGCAAACAAATTTGCTGTAACAGTCATAAAAAGCAAGAGCTAAATAAAAATTTCATCTCTTAAGTATTTTAGCAAATTAAAAGTAATGTAACAGTGTTAATAAATTTTTCTAACATTTTCACTGTTTCGAGTTTTATAAACCCATTTTTGTCAAAAATGCACAAAATTCTCAGCTAATTACTAAAATGCTGAACTTAAACTCTAGATGTAAATTAACAAAGACTTCACAATTCAAAAAGAAATTGCATTTACTCTGATATTTTTTCCTTATACTTACTCTGAAATAGGAATTAAAAAACACGATGGGTAACCTCTTTAATTATACAGAAGACACAGCTTAATTAAATATTTTAACCCAATGATTGTGGCTACAAACGTGGCAGTTTAATTAAAAAAGCAGGATAAATCATACAAGTGTCTGGCATTTAGCCTGAAATAGATACAGACATCTTTTGATCAGACATATGAAACTATCTCTCAAAATACCGTGCGAGTAATTTTAGATCTTTAAACTATAAACAATCGCGCGCATCGCGTCGCTAGAATCGCTGCAACTATCCCATATCTCTGAGTTGCAGTTTTGTGTTCTTGAAACATCGTCCTCCACGACTATCAAACATCGAATCGATCTCTTTGCTCCTGCGGAGGATAATACCAGTTTAAAGCGAACGGGTTACGTGACACCGATTTCCCATGGATCCAGATGAAAGTCCACGATCGTTCCCGCAGATCTTTTCATGGCTGTGCTAACAGGGGCACGAACTTCGACTTTCCTCGACCCCGACACACGCGGACGGTACACTCTACCTGAGGAATTACCACGGCCACGTGCACGTGAATTATTCAGCCGTGACGTAACGACACGGATTAGCGTTAAATTGCCGGGACGCGGTCGTAGGAGGAAGGACGACGTACAGATCGGACGGTTCTTAACCTCGCCCGGCGCAATTAGTCCACGGAGTTTCATCGGTCAACGATTTACAGCCGATTGTTCACCGCTAACGAGACGCTTTGTTCAGCGACGCTCCGGGGAAATTGCGCGAACGCCCCGACAAACTTTCCGCCCGCGAAAACTGCTCGATTAGGAAAAACTCGTTGCTCGTTTGCTACCGCCACACCTGTTGACGGAGTCATTTTTTAATTAGGGATGCGGGCGCTTCGGCGGTTGCGGTCGCCCGCTGCGATCGTCGATCTTCATGAAAATTATTTAGGAATTGCATCGATTCATGCGTCAAGACATTTTCAAAATGCTTAGCATATTTTTGATACGGACTATAACACCGGAATTAAAAAGTCAGTCACAGTGAAATTATAAAAATGTTTCTTCGAAAAATCTTTTGATAAACTTTTCTATTCAAGCATATATTAATAATCGAGAACATGCAAGATTTGAATACCATTGTTATAAAGTAATATAAATTATTAGTCGCATTTAGAGCTTTGTAGGTTCAATGTTAATTTAGTCAGCGCCGAAAGGGTTAACAGTCTGAAAAGTTCATATAATTTGCGGCACGATCCAGCAGGATCGTCGACTGGCGAACTGTATCTGACGGTAAAATTTTCCAGAAGGACGGGAAACACCATTATCACCGCCGCCACCATCGAGTTCCTCGGTCCAGACGTCGCCTCGCGGATTGGGTTACACCTGCGGTCCCATAGATGGATCCTTGTACGCTGTGGTTCACCAGGGTGCTGCCGGTGGTGCCCGCGGCTCGCCATTGACAGTTTCCATGGACAGTGGCATCAGCAGTGCCCCACCGCAACGACCCAGCCCACCCGAGCCAGAGCCGGACAACCAGGCTCATGGTGATCTTGATAAACTCCTCCATGATATGATGCTCACTGTCGAGGTAGGTGTCCGTTCGCCATTTACTATCTTATCGGCGTCGCGCCGTATCGATAAGCAAACGTTTCCTTCGAAATTAGAAACCTTGATAATCGATCTTTACTCGGAACCTTCACTTCTGGTCTACTTACGCTAAACAAGCAAACGGTTTCCTCCGAACTCGGGGACTTCGATAATCAATTTTCACTCGGAACTTCAACTTCTGGTCTACTTACGCTAAATAAGCAAACGTCCTTTTCCCTGGAATTGATTGATGACGGATCTTCGCGTGGAATTTTAGCTTAGCGCTGGTCTACTTAACTAACTACGATTTGTTACGTAGCTACGTTCATTAGCACTTCTTTGTCCGTGCTCGTTGGTAATGAATTTCTAGACGAGCAAGGAGAATTATTCAGAGCTGGGCACAATTTTAATCGGATCACGGATTGAAGATAAAGAATAACGAGTACAATTTTATTCGATGCTAACGAATAAATATTCAATCGATTCAAAATTTATCCAAAAGAATATAATTTTATTCAGAATATATATATATATAATTTTATTCTAATAAGAATTCATTCGGGCAAGATTTTATTCGGATAAAGAATTTTTCGAACTATTCGAATAAAGAACTTTTCGAATTATTCGAATAAAGAATTACTCGAATACAGAATTTCTCAAATTATTCGAATAAAGAGTTACTCTAATACAGAATTTTTCGAATTATTTAAGTAAAAAATTATTCGAATACAGAATTTTCGAATTATTCAAATAAAGAATCATTTGAATAAATGAATAAAAAATGTAATTTACGACGAAGAATGAATTATTCGAAGAAAATATTCGACTAAAACGAATTAATTCGGGTTCGCCACATATTATCACTTCGATATCTACGGCTATTATTCGTAGCGAAGAATAATTCCCATTTTCAAGAAAATTAAAACATCGCGATATTAACGAGAGGTTTATAGATAGCAATAGTAGATTAATTCTAAAGCAAAGAATTTTGCGTCCAAAAGTATGATTCTTAGCCATAGACATCATCAATTTTCTCTGTGTAAATCATCATCATTTTCTCACCAACTGACACAATTTAGGCTAGTAAAACTAGGAAACATAGAAAGCCGAAAAGTAGGAAACATCTTAATCCCCAATACGCAAGAGATCTACATCAAATCTTGTCTTCTTGAAGTCTATGCCAGATCCCCCGACGGAGGACTACCGAGCAGACAGGAGCGAGAAGATGTACATCCAGGAAAACCGGAGCTACAGCAGCCACACGAGTAACTCCCCGTCGACGTATTCCACGCTGAAGGACTCTTACAGGAGCTACGGCGCGGGTAAAGAGTCCAGCCCGCCTTACAACGCAAGCAGCAGCTACAGTACCCTGAAGAACGAGTACCGCGAGCCGGCGAAGATCGAGCACCGTCGCGAGGAGTTCGAGTACCGAGTGTCCCCGGACCGGAAGATCTCCGAGTCCTCGACGGACTCGTACAGGAAGCACGCGGACTCGTTTTCCCCGTCGGGGAACATCGATTACATCGACGAGGACATCCCCTATCACGCCCGGCAGACCAGCCAGCCGTTCTCGTACGGCGCCACCACGGACATGATCAAACACCAGAAACTGTCCTCGCCTTCCCTGGTCAGGAAGGCCTCGGTCAGGGGCGCCGCACCTGTTGTGGACTTCGAGGAGATCCTGGGGGAGAACTCCAGGCGACCCATTAGTCCTTTGAGCCCCAACACACCCGACCCGCCGCCGGAGTTCGCTAATGGGCCTGCGAAGACCAGCTCGGACCATGTAGACGGGTAAGTGATAGCCACCAAGTTTTCGCGGCGGAGATTAGATCCTCTATTAAACGATTGACCTAGATCTCGGGTCTTGAGACTACCCGGGGTCTAATGGCTAGGTGTGTCCCCGAGCTACGCCCCCGAAAGTGTCGAATGAGTCGTTCCTGGAGGAAAGTGGCTCGTCAAAATTGTAAATGGGCGTGCTGGGCGAATTGTTTGAGTTGTAATTAGTGAGCCGGGGATCTTTAGGCCGGATAAACATTGTTTATCGACGCACCCCAGTGTTTAAATTCTCATTATTTCCTTCATTACCTTTGTATTTTTTATATTGTTCAGAAATGTATTATTTGAGCGAAAAATTTTCTTATCAAAATTAATTTTTTGAACGCTTTCTTAAGAAATTGATTGGGTTATACCCAAGAATGTCTCGCAACCCGAAAGTAGGGGATTCTTGAGGTCATTTGAAGCAACTTTTTCCTTAGCGAAAATGCAATCCGCGGCTTCGTTTACGAGTTATCAACGAAAATCATTGACCAATGAGAGGCGAGATCTGCTGACGCGGGACGGCCGAGCCAATGAGCGGAGCTGAGCTTCGCGCGCTCGTTGACTCGACCGCCTCGCGTCAGCAGAGCTCGCTTCTTATTGGTTGGCGTTTTTCATTAATAACTCGTAAACGAAGCCACGGTTTGCATTTTCGCTAAGGAAAAAGTTATTTCAAATAATCTAAGGAATCCACCATTTCCGGATTGCGAGACATTTTTTGGACAGCCTGTATAATGTCCCTCTACACTTTTCACGTCATATTTTTATTGTAAAAATTGGATGGCATTGATCCTTGTGTAGTGGCAAACATTGTAAGATCCATTCAAATCGATCTTCTTAATTGCTTTTTTTAAACTGAACGTTGATCTTTTTATTGATCCTAATAGAAATAACAAATGATGTGCACCGGCTTCGNAATCCCCAATACGCAAGAGATCTACATCAAATCTTGTCTTCTTGAAGTCTATGCCAGATCCCCCGACGGAGGACTACCGAGCAGACAGGAGCGAGAAGATGTACATCCAGGAAAACCGGAGCTACAGCAGCCACACGAGTAACTCCCCGTCGACGTATTCCACGCTGAAGGACTCTTACAGGAGCTACGGCGCGGGTAAAGAGTCCAGCCCGCCTTACAACGCAAGCAGCAGCTACAGTACCCTGAAGAACGAGTACCGCGAGCCGGCGAAGATCGAGCACCGTCGCGAGGAGTTCGAGTACCGAGTGTCCCCGGACCGGAAGATCTCCGAGTCCTCGACGGACTCGTACAGGAAGCACGCGGACTCGTTTTCCCCGTCGGGGAACATCGATTACATCGACGAGGACATCCCCTATCACGCCCGGCAGACCAGCCAGCCGTTCTCGTACGGCGCCACCACGGACATGATCAAACACCAGAAACTGTCCTCGCCTTCCCTGGTCAGGAAGGCCTCGGTCAGGGGCGCCGCACCTGTTGTGGACTTCGAGGAGATCCTGGGGGAGAACTCCAGGCGACCCATTAGTCCTTTGAGCCCCAACACACCCGACCCGCCGCCGGAGTTCGCTAATGGGCCTGCGAAGACCAGCTCGGACCATGTAGACGGGTAAGTGATAGCCACCAAGTTTTCGCGGCGGAGATTAGATCCTCTATTAAACGATTGACCTAGATCTCGGGTCTTGAGACTACCCGGGGTCTAATGGCTAGGTGTGTCCCCGAGCTACGCCCCCGAAAGTGTCGAATGAGTCGTTCCTGGAGGAAAGTGGCTCGTCAAAATTGTAAATGGGCGTGCTGGGCGAATTGTTTGAGTTGTAATTAGTGAGCCGGGGATCTTTAGGCCGGATAAACATTGTTTATCGACGCACCCCAGTGTTTAAATTCTCATTATTTCCTTCATTACCTTTGTATTTTTTATATTGTTCAGAAATGTATTATTTGAGCGAAAAATTTTCTTATCAAAATTAATTTTTTGAACGCTTTCTTAAGAAATTGATTGGGTTATACCCAAGAATGTCTCGCAACCCGAAAGTAGGGGATTCTTGAGGTCATTTGAAGCAACTTTTTCCTTAGCGAAAATGCAATCCGCGGCTTCGTTTACGAGTTATCAACGAAAATCATTGACCAATGAGAGGCGAGATCTGCTGACGCGGGACGGCCGAGCCAATGAGCGGAGCTGAGCTTCGCGCGCTCGTTGACTCGACCGCCTCGCGTCAGCAGAGCTCGCTTCTTATTGGTTGGCGTTTTTCATTAATAACTCGTAAACGAAGCCACGGTTTGCATTTTCGCTAAGGAAAAAGTTATTTCAAATAATCTAAGGAATCCACCATTTCCGGATTGCGAGACATTTTTTGGACAGCCTGTATAATGTCCCTCTACACTTTTCACGTCATATTTTTATTGTAAAAATTGGATGGCATTGATCCTTGTGTAGTGGCAAACATTGTAAGATCCATTCAAATCGATCTTCTTAATTGCTTTTTTTAAACTGAACGTTGATCTTTTTATTGATCCTAATAGAAATAACAAATGATGTGCACCGGCTTCGAAAAAATTAGAATTTAGGTGGGACGTTTGTTCGTAAATGCATCATAGTTTATCGAATTTATCTGGATATTTCACGATTTGGCTTTTATAAATTGACTCGTAAAAAAGAAAACTTGTGTAGGTTCTACAGTCTGGAAAAGCATCTGTCTCACCCTGGTAGTTCTCCTTAAAAAAATCACTGTAACGAAAATAATTTTTAATCACCGCTAAGATGACGATCAAGAGACAACCGTGCAAAACTATTAAACTGTAAACGATCGTTCGCACGAAATGGTGGTTGATCTTCTTCCCGAGCATCAAATCTCTGAAAGCAAAATCCTGTAGCTTAAAGACCTCTAATGGCTCTACTAAAGCAGAATGTCTCGTGAAAGTTAGTTTGTCATAAATGCACAGCTATTCTGTCATAATAAGCAGCGGAATGAGAGACAAAATACTGGTCGACCGTAATTTAAGGAGCACTCCGAGGAGTCCCGGTAGCACAAAGAAGTGAACATCGCGATTACACAAGAAACGCGATGAATAATCGCCCGTTGGGAAACGGGGCCCTCGGACTTCCGGTCGGTAAAACGTCAACGGCCACATTAAACCGTAACTCCGGGTATCGCGGCGGCGTTAAATCTCCGCGGAACGACCGGCGTTATCAATCTCCCCATTTAGTGTCCGCGAAAAAGCGTCAAGTGGTAGGATGAGTCAAGCGCCTCTACCGATTAATGTTGCACCATTATTCCCGTCAGATATCCGAGGACGCTTCCGTCCGGCCCTATATATATATATACACACGGGCGCACACCACTCGGGCCGATTACCGGGTCCCTTTCTTTGGCAAGGCTCCCGGCTACGTTACCGTCAACTTCGCCCGGTGTAACGAATCCCGTAATTAAATGCTCAGACCGTCTAATAATAAATCGGCGAGCCGCGCGTCGTCCGCCGGCAACGTTTCATCGCGCTCGATATATGTCGCGGCCGTGTATTGTGAAACCAGGGGGGAGACTGGGCGAGTTTTCGGGGCACGAGGACTGGAAGACGTGAACAGCCTACTTTGATGCAACGCTGCGGTGAACTGGTCACAAAATAGCACGGATATTTTTGGTCGATTCATTTGGACACTCTTTCTGAAATTCTTTCTTTTGGGAAATCGAAGATATTTGAGCTAGTGTCGTTTCGGTTTAAAAAAATCGCACGACGATGAATCTGGACTCGTTTTAAAGCCAGAAATTTCTCCTTCGATACGTTCGTATTATTTTTTGGCTACGATTTTTTTGCGTGACATGCCAGGTGGAAAACTGGAGACATGTTTTACCTCAAAAATGCATTAAGTTCGAATATCTGTAGAAACTTTGAAACATTTTTTAGGAAGCTGCAATGAACGTAGATTTAAAGAATGGAGCTTTTTCTTTGCAGTGATGTAAGGAAAATTGATCTACAATTTTTTTTGGTCGTTTTATTGAACTTTGAATGGAAAGTGTATTAGCAGCTTTGTAGTACTGTAAGATGAACCATGAGGAGTTCATACGACCAAACTCGATCTCCGTTTCTATTGCATAAAACGACTAAAAAAAATCGTACATCAAATTTTCAAGCGCCATCATAAAGATAAAGCTTCAGTCTTCAAATCCGTGCTAATCTCATTTCCAAAGAAAAATTTTTGATGCTTCCACAGATACTTGAATTTGTATCATTTTTATACACATTACTCAAAAATAGACTTCCGCTTCGAAGCTCAACAAAATGGCTAAAACAATCTCGCATCTCAACGTTTTTGTTGTCATTGTAAAGGGTAAAGTTCAAACTTGAAAACCGCGGTGATTTTATTCCCGACAAAAATGTTACGAAGCTTGTACAGTCGTTTCAATTCGACAGATCGCGGAGAAAGAGATTCTCCAGTTCGTGCCACTGTATTATGCTAAAAAACGCTTTTCGATCACTCTAATATCGCGAAGTACAAGATCCGTGGCCCTACGGCCGACTAGAGACAGACGTGTCGCAACGCAGCGCCGAATCGGGCGCCGCAAAAGATCCTCGTGCGGCAGGAGGGATCAAGTGGAAAAGATCGAGCGTTGGAAAACCGGCGCGGGACAATTAATAAATCGTCTAGCCATACGGGGCCATACGGTTACGGCACTCGCGGCGCGTTTCTGTCGCGAATGGCCAATGCGGTCGTCCCGTGTGACTCATTGTCGTCCGACATCGCCGAGTGGAAAAGAGAAAAGTCGGCAGCGACGGTAACGACGCGTCCTATCGCGTTATGAAATACGAGGCTCGCGGTTTTGCGGATGGATATTGCCAGCGACCGAGTTGCCCGCCGGGCAATTTGTCAGTCTGACGCGACGTCCCGCTGATGAGAAACGAAAATAATTGAGGAAAGAGGGTACGCAGCGCCGTCCAGCTCTTCGAACGGATGGATTCGGGAATCTAGGACGCTATTAGAGTGCACGAATTTGGGAGATACGGATCCAAC